CGCTAAAGCACAACCGTGCCTCTAGCGGAAGCAAAACCGTGCCTCTCGCGAAAGAAAAAAATAGAAAATGTGTTTTTCCCTTTTTGAAAGAGGCACGCACGTGCCTCTCGTGAAAGCACAACCGTGCCTCTGACGGAAGCAAAACCGTGCCTCTCGCGAAAGAAAAAAAACAGAAAACGCGTTTTTCCCTTTCCGAAAGAGGCACGCCCGTGCCTCTCGCGAAAGCACAACCGTGCCTCTGGCGGAAGCAAAACCGTGCCTCTCGCGAAAAAAAATGCATTTTTTGCGCAAAAAAATATTTTTTTTCAAAAAAAAATTGTCGAAAAGCTAGGAAAGACCGGTAGAAAACCAAAACGTCAAAAAAACCAAAAAAAACCCTTTAAAAAGCCGAAAACGCGTGCGTAAAAATAAAAAAACAAAATCCGGAGGAAGCACCCAGAGCGCGACACGTGGCGAATGGCTGTGAGCGCGCCAAGTGGCGCTGATCGTTGCGAGGCTCCCGAAGGAGCGCTCGTTAATTAGTTGCTCCCACAAAAATGAGTATAATGTATATACATATGAACTAGTAAAAGTAAATCTCCAAAAAAATTCTGGGGGCCATGGCCCACACGACCCCACACCTAGATCCGCCACTGCCGATGGAGAAAACCTCGGGACAAAACTGTGCAATGAAACCTACTCACTCCCCTCACAGTATCCCTAGCCACACGTTCCCTCCCACGAGCGGCCTCCCTCCATCGATCAGTGTGGGCAGTGGCCAGTGGATATTGCAAGCCCTGACGAGCCGGAGCCGCTGGAGATACATAATGGAGGACCTCCTGGCATCGCGCCGCGGCCCGTGCCACCCACCACCATTTGAGCGGAGAAGAATTACCAATGTTGTTCCTTTTATTGATGGCAGTTTGGGCATGAGAGAGAGATAACAAATGTTCCGCTTCCTGAACAACCTATCCCATACTAACTAAAGCCTCCAACCGGAGTTCTGGGTGTTAGACAAAGCACTGGTGCCATCAAGTTGATAGCAAAATAGAAAACGAGAACCATATGTTGATAAGAATGAAAAAATCCTCTTGGGCTGCAGTACAAGGCACACAACCCAATGTCTATTAGTGCCATAGTAGTAGCTGTAAAGAATTACAAGCTCAACACATGATAGACCACACCATATCAACTTAACACGAGAAAGATTATTACACATTACATAATCATCATTCAGATTGGGACATAAACTCCCTCGTAACACCACATCAGCTTCCTTTTGCTCCTTGTACTGCAGCCCAACACTCCAAACACTTGGGCCCAGCTTCCATCTGCTCACATCGCAACCAGTTGATACACAAGAACAGCACCTGCATGATAGACCACAGTTATGACAAGATGAATTAGTGGGATTATGTACTTCACAAAACCATGAACATGTACTGAAAACATGTGACATGCTTCCTGGTGGAGTTCTGTCAAAGGCCAAGTATGTAAAATTTCAGGTGCTGCATTTGCTTAAGTAATACTTCCTCCGTCCCATAATATAAGAACGGTTTTGACACTAGTGTAGTGTTAAAAACGTTCTTATATTTTGGAACAGAGGGAGTATGTTTCGCTTTCACACAAGGGAAAGAAAAAACACAGCAACACAAGAGTATGGAAGTTCTATGCCTACCATTTTGACTTGGATGCTTCCTCCCATCTCCTTCGCTTGATTGCACTATCAAAAAGTTACAATGCTGACACTGGGATTTCCCGGGTGCTTGTTGATCGCCTCGCTGATCGCGGCCCGGAGACTCTGCACCTGCATGTGTGGAGCCTCCTCCTGAAATACGTGTTCCCCTCCTTGTGCCACAGCAGCAAACCTATCAAAACTCTCTCTGAAGAGACTGACCCACTTGTAAATATGCACCTTGCACGCCCTGAGACTCCCTAGGTGCTCGATGCCATTGAGTACACCATCGGCTTGACGCACTGCTTGTGCACAACACTCTATAGTGAGGTTCTGAAGCCTTGGCGTGGCGCCTGCCTCGAATGTAAGGCAGGGCACTTCATACGCAAAGACAAGATTCTTGAGGTTTGGGAATGTCGCACCACGGACAATAACCATGTCTTCTTCGGGAGCATGATCCCTTACACTGCCCCTGACACGCAGTATAAGGTGCACCAGCGAGGTCAGACTGGCAAGAACCTCGACACCAACCCTTGGCAGTGACACGAGTTGCATCTCCAAGCTTTTGAGATTTTCGAGTTGCAAAATCCAATCTGGGACCACGGAGAAGGGGCAGTTCAGTACATGCAGTCTATGAAGATGGCGCGGAGGTGGGTTCCAATAAGTCAAACAATCATATCCTAAGGTGTACCCATCGGTGGTTAGGGATCGAAGGCTGTCGAGCCTACAGAGTGAAGGGAGTAGGGCATCTTCAAAATCACTGAATCCAAAGAGATATAGCTTTAACTCCCTTAAGTTCTTCAGATTACCGAGTCCCTTCAAGATCTCCACATGTATAATGAAGGGTTGATACAGAGTACGGAGGGCTTCCATCCTGCCAATCTCACCGAACAAAGTCAAATTTTTAGGAACAATGAGATGCCACAACATTGAGGGTAAGTAGTGAACATCTAGCTCTCCACGATTTCCTCCACCGACTATCTCCAATGACTTCAAATGTTTCAGTGTTTGCAATTGTTTTAGCAGTTCATCACACTTCAAACCTCTGATCCTCAAATATGTCAGTAGGAACAAACTGCGTATCGAAGGCAGATCATACTGCTCTTCCTTGGAATCATACACATCAAGATGTAGAACTCTCACAAGTTGAAACCTCGAGAGAGAAGGCATACATTGACCAGGGCCCCAAAAGTTAAATGACCTAACTTGGGCCAGAGCAATGTTCCCTAGCACATGATTGCATTCTGTATTTCTGAGTTGGAGGGACAGTCGGCGAACTTCCATGGAGCCTTTCATGGTATGTGGATCATGAATTACAGGGAATTCCTTAGTTACAGTGAAAAAGTTTTCTTCTGTGGACTTCAGTATGATAAAGTCAAGCATTAGATCATGCACTCGACAAGACAACACATTCCCACAATCATCAAACTCGGCTATTTGGATCATGTTTTTATTGATGAGCTCACTAAAATAATTTTCTGCAATCTCCTCTAGACCCACAAAACCCTCGGCGATCCACCTCTTAACCAAATCATCCTTTCTTATTTCATAATCTTCAGGAAATATCCCGAGATATAGCATGCAGGTCTTAAGATCCAGACATAAATAGTTGTATCCAAGATTAAGGACATGTCGCATCCATTCTAAAGCAGGGTTTCCTTCCAATTGTAAACTTAAATAATTTTGTATCCTTTCCCAGAATTCCTTTGAATTTACCTCCTTATGATTAGCCAAAAGGCTGGCTACACTCAGTATGGCTAGTGGAACCCCTTGACATTTCTTTAGAATTTCATCAGAAACATTTGTTAGTTTCTCAGGACAAGCATCTTCAAAGGGGAAAATCCTTCTATGGAATAATCTCCTTGAGTCAAGATCATTAAGAGGTTTGATGTTGTAGACATGGCCATGGAAACAAGAACAACATGCATGAGCTACATCTTCAATACGTGTAGTAATTATAACTCTACTACCACGATTATTCTCCATGAAAGAACATTTAATAATGTTCCATGCTTCCATTGCCCATATATCATCAATCACGATAAGGTATCTGCCAAACAAATAACAATTTGTCACGCTACTAGTATAGAGCCACGGTAGGATCCCACCCTATTATCGCTCTTACATATGCTAGTTAAATCATGTAGTTACAGATCGTTAAAATCAAATTAAGTGAAAGTATCATCATTAAGTTCACATATTTTTAAGAACCCTGGAAATATTTTAGACCACTGGAAAATTTCCAGCATGCATAATAATTATGCATGATTTGAGAAATATACAGATAAAAGGTTCACAGAATTTCTAATGAAAACATGTAATTGCAGCTTAGTTTGAATTTTGATTACTCGGTAATATCTACTTGAGTAATTCTGATCTGTAGTTACTTTTGCATACAAGTTTGAGACCTAAATGTATATTTCTCAAGTTTAGGAACATAAATGACAGCGAAGTTTAGACCTCCACTCCTAAAGTACTGCCTTGTGTGCTCAAAGTCTCGGACCAGACTAAAAATTGCTTTGTGTACTAACAAATCCTATCTCATTGCATACTATATGGTGGTGCTCTATGGTTAACATCCCACATTTAGCCTAGTTGGATATGTTATACGGCTACACATATCCTTGATCTACAACATCCATGAACTATTGGTCTCAGGATCTAAGCATGTCATGGATTTAAGTGGACTTTGTTTTACAGGCCAGGCAGAAATGATCAAGCCTAAGTAGTTCTATAAGTCAAAGAAGTAACGACATGTCTGAAGTGTCAACAGAAAATGCTCAAATAATTTAGCAATTATAGGGCCATGCAAATGTAATTGTGAACCACCACAAATAAAGAAGTGATAGTACTTCACCAGTCAATTCTGTGGAGGTTATCCAATTACGATGTGCCTATTCATACATCATAATCATTTGTTATAGCTGATCTAGTAATATGAGCATACCTTTTGTTTTGGAGAACTTCCCTGAGTTTGTCGATCAGTTGGCGCTCATCATTCAGGAAAGAAGGCACCTGCCCCCAAACTCCAGAGAGTATATCTGACAATACCTTGACAAGATTGGGATTTTGAGACACCGATACAAAGGCTGTACAATCAAATTGGCTTTTGATTTTATCGTGAACTTGTTTGGCAAGAGTTGTCTTGCCCATGCCTCCAAATCCAACAACTGATACCACATGAAGTTGTGGTGCATTCTCCTCCATCATCAGCAACTCGATAAGCTTGTCCTTTGGGCGATCTATGCCTACAAGGCTACTGGCCTCGGTGTAGAGTGCCTGTACACGAGGGTCAATAGGTTCAGGGCCCCGAGAAGAACCAACATGCTCATCAAGCTTATATCTATTGTGACGATCGCTTGCTTCCAAGACCTTTGCCTTCAGTTCTTCGATCCTGTTAGCAATCTTGTAGTGAGCCTTGAGCTTCTTTAGTCCACCCAAAAGCCCAGCCTTGGCATCAGCACTATCAAGATCATTCATGAATATGTCGATGCAGTCTTCCATACCATAAGACAGCTCACGGACCTTGTCACGCCAGTCCTTCTGTTGCTCATCGAGCTCCTCGGTCCTAGACAGCGTCACGAGCAGAGCACTCATAGAGCTCATCTCATCTTTCAAAGAGGTGATCTCCTTCTTCACATCTTTGGACAGCTTGTACTTCTTCTCCAGCAAGGCCGTGAGCTTGCGCAGGAGTGGTGAAATCACTCCTGTCACAGCGCTCACCATCACCCTCTCCATTGGTAGTGGGATCTTCTTTCCCACAATCAAGCAATCCGAATAGTCCTATGCACTGTGTGTGAGGCTTCAGGATACGGGAGAAGATGTCAAGTGGTATGGGCAGAGGCTGTTCATTGCAAAGCAGCAATGTATATAGAAGTGGAATTCATGAACTTGAGTATTGATCTATCATGTGAACGATGCCTAAACTTGACTATCCTTGTGACGATGTCCAACCGTTGTGCCAGAACTGGTTCATGCATGTCGCCCCCGCTTGGACTTATTCTATTGGTGCGCCTGACTACCAGTATCCCAAGAAAATGCAGAGAATGTGGATTGGCGAAAACTGCATTGTGCTCCAAGTGTCAATCAATCCTACCAGGAGGTTACACGCCTGACTACCAGTATTCCAGGAAAATGCAGAGAATGTGGATTGGCGAAAACTGCATTGTGCTCCAAGTGTCAATCAATCCTACCAGGAGGTTACCTTCCTTGCAATAATTCTATTTTTCTATTTAGAAAATGACAATCGAACCTTCTAGGAAGTTGCCTGAAGTGAGTTGCATACTATCACGAACCAGTCAGCTGAACTTCTAGGCAGCTTCACCTTCTCCTTCGCTGCTGGTAAGAAAATCAACTCGAATTTGTCATACAGACTTGTTTAAGGAATCCTGAGAGGACAGGCTGAACAAACTGGGAAAAAACAAGTGCCCGCTTGAAAAATAAGGCTCAGAGGTGACCTCTTCTGTAGTTGCACTTGCATCAGCTTGATATTGTGCCCAACCAAAAAAAACATCATCATCCAAAATAACTATAATTTTCACACGAAAATCTTTGATGATATCAGAAACAAGGTTTTAAAGTGACAAGTCAAGCCGAGACGTCTTCCAGCCGGCTATATTCAACTAATCAACACTATTAGACAATGGGACTCACAAACTTTAACTAATCAACCACTACCAGACAAGGGGATTTACGAACTTTTCATACAAGAATCTCTAACAGAACTTTTCATACAATCTTTAACATTGTCTGGAACTTTTTTTTTTGATATGGAACAAGGTTTTCAAGTCGAGAAGTCGATTTGCGACACCTCACGAATGAGTAGTCTCGCTAGTTGACCGCAAGTTAGGCCTACTAGACTAGGGGATTTATGAATGCAGGAAGAAAGCTTTCAAATCATTTAGTGCATGTTTAGGACTTCTTTTAGTGGCGCAAAGATGCATAGCTGATATACAGTTCTCCTGCTAGGTTTTCCGCCACTTCTATCGTTAATTTTGCGGCCCTTTTTTTGGGGGTGGGGGTCTCCACTTGATCTTGACTGAGAAAGTAATCCATCAAACCTTCTCCTTGGCGGTGGACAATGGGATATGTATCAGCCTTATCAAATGTCCAGGCCAGAATCCCTCTCACGTATCCAGATGATGCAATTAGGCAGCTAATATCTGGAGAAAGGAATGTGAAGATTTCTCGCACTCAGAATGACGCTGGTCATTCTCTCGGTTTACAGGTCGGTCCCAGCAAATGCACTGCATGCTGGCTCTGTACGCTAAGCAATCTCTGGTGCGAAGATGTTGAAGTTGCTGGATGAATGATTCAAGGGTTAAATTAAATTTGAGAAATAGAATCCCCCTAGAATGAGAAATAGGCCGTGAAATCTCCAATCATGAGAGAAATGGGGACAAAAAAATGGAACTACAGAGTTGCAAGGTCTGTTATAGTTTGATCCTTGTTCTTCTCAATATGCAGAGCTCAAGTAGCTAAGTTCAATATGGACACTCGATACTATACCAGTCCAAAACGAAAACTAGACACTGCTGTAGAGATTGCCAAGCTGAAGCTAGTTAGAGATCACACACTGTCATATATTCATGTCAACACTGGCAAACAGATATTAGTCCATGGTGTGGTAACTAGTGCTAACCATGGTGGCGAAAAGCACTGCTACAGCCTACATGCCAGTCTTAGTGCCTGTTAAACCTGGCGGTCTAGGGAATTACTAGTAGTTCACTACATCCTTTTTAGACAATTTTTTGTCCATCTTGCGCTGAGTTAGTCAAAAGAATAAGTGATTGATGTGCTGATGCAGCATGGTTTCATTGGACAATCTCATTTTCAACACCCATTGCTCTGAGCTTAGATTATGTAGTCCAACTGATTTATAAATTTACAGATAGACAAGCCAATTACATGTAGATTCTGTATTAAATCAAAATTAGCTGTCAAATACTCAAAATGTAAGACGTTGAAGCCTCAACAACGACTTGCATTTTGAGACACAGGAAGTAGAACATATCCAGCCGATGTATAAAAAAATCTCCATTTTATTATGTGTTCAATCAACTGCCCTGGTGGTGACAACGGAGCCGAACCAATCGAGGATCGAGAAGCAAACAAAAGGTTGAATTCATGAAGGAGGCCTTCAAGTGGTTAAATCTTAGTACTAATATTATTTTCTCCATTATTTATTTCACTTATTATTAGTCCTTGTATACTGAGGTATGGGACTGGAAAAAATGTCAGTGGTAACAGTTCCTGTCTTACCCGAGTGGCCGCCGGCGCCCACTCCCGCTTCCTTGCTCGAGCGTCGCCGGCGCGCGGAAGTCAGTACGTGCAACGCTTCCGGGGACGCGCGCCTGGCCTCCACCTGCCTCCTCCCCCGCCATCCACGCACCCAGAGCTAGCCCTCCCCTCCGAGATAGCTCAACGGTGAGAAACCGGGGACGGAGGAGGGGGAGGACTCGCCTGCCTGCACGGGGAAGGCGGCGGAGGGCCGGCCGGCGTTCTCTCTCTCTCTCTCTCTCTCTCTCTCTCTCTCTCTCTCCGGTGGATTTTTGGGTTTGGGGATCCACGGGAGGAGGTGCCTTAGCTCCGGCCCGCTCGACGCTTTCTCCGATCGGCCCGGTCCACCAACACACACGAAGCGGCAACGGGCCTCCATCTCAAGCATCATTCATGACAAAAAAAATGGTGCTAGGGATCCCCGGCCGGAAGAGAAGAATTTTCGCACGCAGTGACGTAGGTGCGTACGTGCAGGAGTCACCTGACTCACCTGCGAATCCGCAACTGATGTCGGTTAAGCAGCTGTGGGATGCACGCTGGCCATCAAGAGATGATCGATCGTGCTGTGCCACTGCATGCGTCCATGTGAAACTCCTGTTACCGTCTCGTGGTCACATGCATATGCATATGCAGCATGGCATAGTCGTTGCAACCATCGACAGAGCCTGCCATCAATCATGCTGATCAGATTAACAAATGCGCAAGTCAAATCCCTACTGCCCTCTTCTGCTATAAGAAACCTGATGAGGATGCCAGTTCGTTCCATCCCTCAGTTCCTCAAATCTCGCCATGAAACCAGCCAAGCAGTCAAGCACCTCTGCAAATTAACAAGAAACTTCGCCGCTCTACTCGGTGGATCTGTTTCTCCGGGCCGGCGATGGAGGGCATCTTCCCCTTCTTCTGCTCGGCCATCAGGAGGCGGAGGCCGAGGCCACCGGACCGCTACGAGCGTCTCGCCTTACCCGCCGGCGCGGCGGGTGGGCTCGGGCGGGAGCACGAGAGCTTGGCCGGCGGCGGGCACTACCAGTACTCTCAGAGCTGCAGGTTCCCCGTCCGACGTTCCGGGGCGGACGAGCTCGCCCTCGGCCACGACGAGGACCGGCCGCCACCGGAGGACCTGTCCGGCGAGCTGTCTCCGGCGTCCGGCGGCCGGAACGATGGGCGCGGGCTGTCCAGGTCCCGGAGGTTCGGCAGCATGCGCATGTTGGCATCTTGTATCGGCGGCCCGTGAGATCAGCGCACCGCTGCTGTCTGTATTCTGTGTAGTCCAGCGTGTGTGTACAAGGAAGAAATCGCAAACCTCTTTTTACCGGTGCCAGGATGTACCGGCAACCAGCTAGCCAATGATACACGACACCACGTCAAGCATTCTTATACAGGAGATGTATTTCACTTGTTTCTTTAGATTTGCATGTAGTATATTTCATGCACTAGGACCTACCATGTGTCAGATAAAGGACACATGCATGTCTGTCCATCTCTTGCTACACACAAGTACCTATGAAGCACGCACGCATTTTATTTTCGCTTTGACAATTTCAATCATGCATATCTTTTAATTTATAGTTTTATTTTTAAAACTCTTTTTATATTTGAACTTCTAGGATCAAGACCTTTACAACAAGATCATTCTTGGATATATTTGAAATGTTTAAATTTAACCGTTTCAATTCACTTATTTCGTTCAATGTATTAATTCGGTGTGGGGAATCTGTTTTTGACTTTAGTGAAATTATTATTTTGGAATGAGCTAAACTTGTATTGAGTGAAATTATTATTTTGAAATGAGCTAAATAATTTTGAAATTAGTTTTGTAATTAATGAAATATAGTATTTCAATAGAGCACTACCAGGAAAAGGGTTATAGATAGGATTGATACTAATGGCGCACCAGGTAAGTAGTGCGCCACTACTATATACTAATGGCGCACCAGACACACGGTGCGCCACTAGTATTAATTTTTTTTCATTTTTCCATACATACTAATGGCGCATGAGGTCGAAGTGCGCCATTACTAGTTCTAACTAGTAATGGCGCACCGTGCAGACAGTGCGCCATTAGTATTTTTTTTTTAACTTTTTTGCAAAACTACTAATGGCGCACCTTGTCACAGTACGCCATTACTAGTTTAAACTACTAATGGCGCACTTTTTCACAGTGCGCCATTAGTATATATATATTTATTTATTACTTTTCTACAAAACTACTAATGGCGCACCACCTGCAGGTGCGCCATTAGTAACCAGGGTTACTAATGGCGCATTTGCTGGTGGTGCGTCATTAGTAACCTGGGACCAACAAGATATTTTGGACAGCCCACCTACCCACTCACTTTCCCCACTTCATTCTCTCCACCTCCTCCTCCAAGCTTGTCTCGGCTGCCTCCTCCTCCTCACCTCATTTGCACCATAGATTCATCAAAATTAAGTGGTGAAATTATCTTTTTTTGATAGGTAAG